CTTCTTAACTTGATTCCAAGTGCTCCAACAATTTTGGTATATGCCGCGAACATAGCCAGTGTAATATGTTGAACCAGGTTTTTCGATATTTATTTGTACACACATTAGTCCCTTAAATGTTTTCACTGTTCTTGTTCGTATTAAAAAAATACCCAACGCTATATCGCTGAAGAAGAGTTGACCGAAATGTTCCTTAGATGCCTTTTTGATAATATTAAAATGCTTTCATTAGTATTACTGCAAGCTTTGTTAAAATTTGATAGTATCAAGTCGTTGTTTGTTTGGCTACATTCATGATACATTTGTCGCTGGCATATTCTCCACAATAGTTAAAGATTGACACGTCTAAGCGCCGGTTTATCGTGACATGAAAAATAACTCACCCACCTCCATCCTCTGACCTTATCTTTTTTCTTTAGCGTAGATCTGTTTTTTAATTGGTTATCGAAACATACCCACAAGTATATTTTTAATTCCGACCTTAAGCCCCCACCCCCGCTTTTAACTTTCGGTAATGATTTGTTTTTAACTTTCCCTAAAAATCATTTTTATGACCAGTTACCAACCATCGCCTGAGGAAGTACAATCATAATATTAAAAGATGAAAGCTTTTGTTATGATTTAAAATGCTTTTATTATAATCTTTATAATATATATATATATATATATATATATATATATATATATATATATATATATATATATATATATATTCTTAATAGAAATCTTATAAGTATAAGAAACTATACTCGCTCAGAAAACCTTCGGTATATTGATTTGCAAATAAACAAGTCAACACCAAAGAGAAAAAAAAAGGTATAAAAAAAAGAAAGAACCAAGAACATGTACGTTAACCGAAAATAATTATCCAGCATATGAGTTCAAGGCCCGAAGAAAAAAAACCCGATGCGAGTATCCAAAACAACTAAATAAAGTGCTCAATACAATGAGTAGAGCAGACCTAGTTAAACCTAGAGAGCCAGACAAAACGATACGCTTAGGTGAAACCTTGGTAGGTTTGGCTGGCTCTCTAGGTTTTAATCTATCTATCTATCTATATATATATATATATATATATATATATATATATATATATATATATATATATATATATATATATAATGTTTTCAGACAATCTAGTGTAATGATACCGGATCGTCAGCGAAATATGTCAAATTAAAAAGTTTCTAAAATATATTTTCCATTTACTCAATTACTCATCCAACTTTACGTGTGTGTGTGTGTGTGTGTAAGTGAATGTAATGGATTCGACTGGAATTCGAACACTGCTCTCCGATTCCTCATTCCGAGCCTCTATCCATTTACTCCACCATGCCTCCTATTTGCACTAATAATCTAAATAGTTTGCACTAATCTGATATTTATATTTGCATTAATCAGATGAATATCTTGTACTGATCAGTTAAATATTTTTGCACTAATCATATAAATATTTTATTTTGCGTTAATTGGATAAATATTTTGTACTAATCAGTTAAATCCTGTACAAAAACAGCTACTTTTGCACTAATTAGCTAAATATTTTGTACTAATCAGTTGAATAGTTTTTGCACTAATCAGATTAATATTTAATAATAATCAGCTAAATATTTTTGCACTAATCACCTCAAGAATTTTGCACTAATCAGATAAATATTTTGCACTAATCACCTCAAGATATTGCATTAATCAGATAAATATTTTTCACTAATCACTTCAAGATTTTACACTAATCACCTCAAGATTTTACACTAATCAGATAAATATTTCGCACTAATCACCTCGAGATTTTGCACTAATCACCTCAAGATTTTGCATTAATCAGATAAATATTTTGCACTAATCACCTCAAGATTTTGCACTAATCAGATAAATATTTCTCGTGGTAATGTAAAAATTAATGAATAATCACCAGATTTTGCAATTTTCGTCCTAAAATTTCTCTGAACAGTTTTTAGTTGCCATTGTGTACGTTAAACATTGAAATTGAAAAAGAAATAATTGTCAGTGGCTATATAAACTTTATTAATAGAAAAGAAAAAGCTATTACATGTATCATTATTTTCCCGAATTTTACTTTTTAAAAGAAAATTGTTTTTTTTTTCTTTCTACTTAAAACAGTAGGTGGTGTGTTCATCAGATTTGTAAGTAGCCAGCAGCAGCAGCTGAATGGTCACTGTTTTCAATGTTTAACTGAGATTGGTGTTTTCTGTATAAGTAATGAAGGACTATTTCACGTCGTTTTTGATTATTTTACGTGAAGGCCGGGAATAACGTTTATCATGTATCCAGTGCCTTTGGTTCGTGGGTAAGGGTCATAGTTCAGGAGGAGCTGCCATTCAAACGGCTTTCCGCTCTTTAGATAGACTTTTTTTTCTAAACATATGAACATACAAATTCACACACACACACACACACACACACACACACACATATACACATATATATATATACTAGCAGAGCTACCCGGCGTTGCCCGGGATTTAAAAATTAATCTATAACAACAATATAACTTCAAATTAATTTATTCAAACACAAAACTATCTTTAAACAGTTTTTACACGAGCAATACTTCTTGGTAGACAATATTCTTTGTCTTTCCTCGTGGAGCATAAACAAATAAATTGGTTTTACTTCCCACATGTGAACAACCAACAAACAACTGTCCATGAGAAAAACAGGATTCTTTTAATTGTAGTCCAATGACTGATAGAGTCTGGCCTTGTGCTTTGTTAATAGACATAGCAATACTTGTATTCTATTTTTATGAATAAATGGCCTTTCTTAAGGTTTTTATTCAAGAGTATGTTTACTCTTATAGGGATTTGAACTAATTTGCCGAAAATGCCATATCTATAGTTTAAAATTAATTTTAAAACATAAAAAATCGTTCTTGAAACTTTCTTTTTAGCTTTAATTCAAAGGTAAAGGAATAAATTTACTATACCCAGTAAGCAAAAAACTTTGGTGTATTTAAAACCGAACTTATATTGATTGGAATAAATTTTTGTTTTGTTTTCAGTAAAATCGATGATACCTGCCATTTTGAGACATCTGTAAACAAAAGTTAAATTCTCCGTTTTAAAAATGTTGTAAAAATAAAATATACATTTTTTCAAAGGTTATTTGAATAAAATTAGAAAATTTAAAGTTTTACTTTTTTAGCAGCAAAAACGTAGTAGAAAATAACAAAAGCATTTCTTAACTACGGTGACTCATTTGTCAGGTGTTGATTGATAATATTGACCAGCTGAGGTCAGGAAAACGCATCGGATGGATGAACAGAAGTGACAAATTTTATGAATTTTAAGTGAACTTACTTAAGTACCCAGTAATTTTGACAAATAAATAAATATTCTAAGCAATCTAATATTTTATTAATTATCACATCCTTTAACTTTATAGCCTTACGTTTGAAGATGCTTCCTGGAAAAATAATAATAAAATTTAAAATACTATATAACAATAAAATAAATTTAAAAATTCATAAGACAATATAAAAATTAATATAACATAACATACAAATTAATAAGAGAGTTACCTATAATTTTTACGTACATCTCTTATGAAATTTTATAGTATTTTATTTATTATATAATTTTTATTAATTTTTTATTATCTCCATTTTTATGGTAAAAATAAGAAAACATACTGTTTGTAATTTATCCAATCAGACATGTCTAAAAGAGAATTTGCTGCCGAAATACACAAATTTTAATATATATATATATATATATATATATATATATATATATATATATATATATATATATATATGACGTGCTTTGTCCTTTCGGCTAGAAGTGCGTCGATGGCCAAGGAAAGTCTGAATAGTGCCTGAATATTTAAGAAATGTTATAAAGATATACGCTATCTGCAGGATATTCAGGCCGGTAAGCGAAAATAAATAAATATACTGTTTAATAAATAAACGGGGCGTCTACTCAAATACGGGTATCCATTAAAAATAACGTCTAAGTAATAAAATCTGTCGGATTAATAAATAAAAAATATATTCCTGTCTTTAGAAATTGCTTTGTTTATGTTAGAATACGAAACTGAGTAGCTATGTCTGTTTCAAAAATCAGAGAAAAATCTGTTTAAAGCACGCGCGCGCACTCACACACACCTACACACACACACACACACACACACACACACACACACACACACACACACAGAGAGGACCATTTGCTACAGTGCCTTGGGACATTTGCTACAGGACCATATACTATCGGGCTTTGCACCGCTTGGTACAGGGCCGTTGACAATGTGCTCCCGGGTCGTGGACCATGTGCTACCGGAGCGTTGAGCATTTATACCGGACCGTGGAATATATGCTACCAGGCCTTGGATAATTTGCAACAGGGTCATGTGCCATATACTACCGGGCTTTGCACCATTTGGTACAGGGCCGTTGATCCATTTGCTACATGGCCGTGAATCATGTGCTACCGGGCCGTGGACCATGTGCTACTGGGCCGAGGACCACGTGCTACTGGGTCGTTGACCATTTTGTATCGAACCGTGGACCATTTTCTACCGGGCTTTGGACCATTTGCTACAGGACCGTTGATCCATTTGCTACCTGGCCGTGAACCATTTGCTACCTGGCCGTGAACCATGTGCTACCGGGCGGTGTACCATGTTCTATCGGGATGTTGACCATTTGTTACCGGAGTGGTTGACTATTTTGTACCGGGCGGTTGATCATTTAGTACCGGAACTTGGACTATGTCTTAACGCGCTGTGAACAATTTGCTACGGGGCCTTGAGACATTTTCTACCGGCCGTGGACCATGGACTACCGGACCATGGACCAACGGATGGTTGACCATTTTGTACAGAATCATGGACCATGTGCCATGTGTTTCCAAGGCAGAAATGCCGCATAAAGATCAAAAGAAAAAGCTTCAATTAAAGAAGATTTATATGTATTTTTAACTTGTCCCTTTTCCAAGTTTCATTTTCTTTCTTTCTTTCTTTCTTTCTTTCTTCGCTTACGGCCATATCATGTTGAAATACCTGTTCCCGTACGATCACCGAAGTTAAGCAACGTCGAGCCTGGTTAGTACCTAGATGAATGACCGCTTGGGAATACCAAGTGTTGTAAGCTTAGATATGCGGGTGGTGTAATGGATAATGGCTCGGAATTTTTAATCGGAGAGCCGAGTTCCAATTTCAATTTTGGGTTCGTTACATGCATTTACGCGTAAATACTCTTGGGAAAGATATAAATCAACCTCTTCTCCCTCAGCTATGGGTTAATTAGCAAGACTTATATCACTAAATCATTATTATCCTCCCCCTAAAAAAACTTCTTGAAATCTACAAATATTTTCTGACTTTAAATAATCTGCAAAGTGTTGATAAGCCGTAAAAAACAAATTAGTTCTTCCTTGCTTCTTTCTTTCCTTCTTTCTTTCCTATATTCCCTTCTCTCTTTCTTCATTTTCATTCGTTCCTTCATTCATTATTTCCTTCCCTCCTTCCTCTCTTCCTTTCTTCCTTCCCTCCTACATTCCCTCCATCCTTCCTTCATTCAATTATTCCTTAATTTTAGCATTTTCTTTTTTTTTTTTCCTTCCGACCTTTTCTTTCAATTTTCTCTCCTTTGTTTGTCTTCTTTTTTATGTTAGGTTGGTGCATAATTATCAGGCGTTTTTGTAAGCGAGTTATTTGTTAAGTGAAAATTGCTGTTTTGTTTACTTTTTTAATAAAAGTATTTTATTTTCAGCTTATAAAAATTCGTGTCGATAATCATATGCGCCGGAATAATTGAATTGTTATGTGTCTTTTTTCATAAGAAATATTATTAAAAAAATGCCTGATAATTATGCACCAAACTCAATATTTTATCTCTTGCATGAATCTCTTTCTTTTTTGTTTTCTCCTTTTTCTTCTTTTCTTTCTTTTTGTCTTCATTCTTTATATTTAATACCGCTTTTATTCTTTTTTTTATTTCCCGCCTTTTTCTTTATGTCTGATTCCCGCCTTTTTCGTTATGTTTGATTCCTTCTTTTCGTCTTGTATTTCCCTTACTTTTTTGTTCCTTCATTTCTTTTTCTTCTTTCTCTCCTTTTTTTATATTGTATCCCATTTTCTTTTTCTTTTTCTTCCTGTACGTCTTGTTACATATTTAATTCCTTCTTTTTTCTTCTTCTTGATGCTCTTATTTGTTTCCCCTCCTCCTCTTCCTCCCCTTCTTCTTCTTCTTCTTCTTCTAATATCCTGTTATCTATTTCTCTCTTGTTCATCACCACCACCACCATCTTCATCATCACCATCATCATCATCACAACCAAAACATTTGTCTTTCGACCACATCATAAGTCAACTCTATTTTTTCCTTACGTTTTCTTTCTTTCCTTCCTTCTTTTTTTTCTTTCTTTCTTTCTTTTTTTTCTTTACTTCCCCTTCTTCTTTCTCTGCTCCTCTTCATTACTTTTACACCCGTATCTATCTCTCCCTCTAATGTTCTATATTCTGTTATCATCAAAAATGACCATCAGCCTCGCTCTCACGCCGATTCGCACGTCGCCTCTCTAATAAACAATGGAGTAAATTTTGAACATAAAACACATTCACCGTCTCCAAATTAACAAGAAAGTAAAAAAAACGTTGAGCTGTTGTTTACTCTTGCTAACATCTGCCCAAGTGGATGTTGTTTAAACATTGTCCTGTCTTGTTTGAGATGTTTAACAAGAGAGGAAGTACTAAGAAGAAGAGAGCCAAAAGAAAGATACTGTTAGAAGAAACGACCTGTTCTGGGGGTAGGAACAATATATGTGAATAATGAGATCAGGATCTCTTTCTTTCAGACCGATAAATAAATCATACAGTAAATAAATCATTAATACGAGCGTATATATATATATATATATATATATATATATATATATATATATAAAAACGTCGCACAAACGTTTGCACACACACACACACACACACACACATATATATATATATATATATATATATATATATATATAATTAATGCAAGTAAAAGTTTTCTCACTTAGCTGATTGGTGTTACCTTCAGCATCCCGACTCTAGAGTTTCGTAGACAGACTCTCCGGGAATCATTCAATCTACTCGTCAGGGATTATCAGCAATTAACAAATTAAACTTCTTTTCCATATGCACGTTTCTTTGGTGCAAGTTTCTTTTTTCATAGTGTACGTGTGCGTACGTGCATGTGTGCGTACGTGCATGTGTGCATTCGCGCGCGTGCGCCCATGTGTCCGTCTGCACGGATGTGCGTACGAGTAGAATGTCATATTTATTTGTCCTTTTCGTCGTTATTTTTTTTCTTTTTTTCACTTTATACTCTCTTTATTGTATTTTTGTTTTGGTTTTTTTTGGGGGGTGGGGAGGTTACCTGTCTTTTTTCTCTTTTTCGTCTTTTCTTTCAATTGTAGCCATTTTGATTTCTGGTTTTCCACGCGCGCGCATATATATGTATAAAAGAACGAAGAATAAATTTCAACGTATTAATGATTTATTTACTGAATGACGTTCAAAGCATTAATTTAAAACCGGGCTCAATACAAAATTAGAGCAATAAATATTTATTATATATTAGAACATGTAAATATCTACTACAAAATTGTATATTTTGTTTCAACGTTAAAATCAAACGTTTCTTCAAGTGGAAAACAATGCTGGTACTATGAAACTACAAAATTGTTTTCCATGTGGCTTCCTTGATTATTGTGATATTATTATCAGTGTCTAGTTTGCCTTTTTACATCCACATATTAATGCTGTGTATGTAAAGGAAAAAATAATAAAATTCGTATTTGTGCTGATTTTTCAACAGAGTTAAACAAATGTTTAGAACCACATAACTACTCATTACCATGTCCAGAGGAAATGTTTGCGAATTTAAACGGTGGAAATTTTTTTTAGAATCTAGATCTTTCTGAAGCCTATTTGCAAATAAAGGTTGAAGAATGAAAAATGTTCAGAGTTAATAACTATAAATACACATTCCTTTTGGTATAAAAGTGGTTCCAGCTATATTTCAACAAGCTATGGATACTATACTTACAGATTGGGATTTTGCAGTTGCTTATCTGGATGATATATTAATTAAAAATGTATCTAAGGAACAACATATGGGTGGGGGGTGCATGTGAAAAGAGTTTTTAAAGTATGAGAATACAGATTCAAACTCAGTGAGGAAAATGTACAAATTGTTTTTGCCTCAAATCAAGTACCTAGGACAAATCGTTGACAAAAATGGTCGTCAACCAGATCATTCAAGGGCAAGTGCAATTAAGAATATGCCTTCTCCAACAAATGTTACTTTTCTGGGACTAGCAAATTATTATCAAATGTATATACCTAATATGCAGAATTTGAGAGCTCCACTGAACAATTTGCTTAAAAAAAGGCGCAAAGTTGAACTGGATTAATAAATGCCAGAAGGCATTTGAAGAAATCAAAAAAATACTAATGTTAGACTTATCATTCGTGCACTATGATCCAAAAGAAGAAATCGTATTGGCTTCAGATGCTAGTGACTATGATATAGAAGCAGTAATTCTACATAAATATGATGACGGTAACATGAAAGCCATTGTATATGCTTTGCATTCACTACTGCTGGCAGAAAAAAAAACGACAGCCAGATTGAAAAAGAGTCGTTAGCAATATTTGCAGTGAAAAAAATTCACAAATTTATATATGGAAGGAGTTATCGCTTGCAGACAGACCATCGACTTCTATTATCAATTTATAGTTCGAAAGTGATTCCATTTCAAGATCTTTGCATTTTGATAGTTTTTTTTTGCATATCTTAAAAGATATATTACAATCTGCAGAGACTGTCATATCAATAAGAAAGCAAGATGCATTACAACCTACAATATTATTATTATTATTGTTGTTGTTGTTGTTGTTTTTGTAAAAGGAATTATTATAACAAAGTACCGGCCACGTTTGTCGATACCAACCGATCAATTAGACCATAACATGCCGCTTTTCTTCACCAACTGGAAGCTACAGAAGAAAGTGATAGTAACATCGTGTTTTGGTTTATGTTCAACTGCAGTGGTAACTTGTTTTTTGTTTTTTAAATTGCTTTGTTTTCTCTTGTAATGGTTTATTATTGTAATCGTGTCAAATATTTTCACTATTATGATTTCTTGTTTTATATTCGGCTAACTTGCTTTTTATGTACAGTAATGTTTTGATATAGCTCAAATTCTTTTGTATACCGCTTGATCCTTTGCACTGTCGGCCTGTTAGCCTCATACCTCTTTTTGGCAAACTACTAGACGCCCAAATATCCTTGGGAAATGTATGAATTCATCTCTTCACTCCCCCAGCTATGGGTTGAGTAGCAGGACAGACTGGGTTCTTTAGTCTTGGTTGGCAACCAGTCTACCGCAGAAAGAAATGGTAACCTACTGCGGGAAAGAATCTACCGGGTCAGTCATGTATCTAAACATACATGATCACCCAATCGTGTATCACGTATGGCACTTAACTGACTGACTAGAGGCCTTAATCAAAAAGGATTAAGCATCTCGCATCGCAAGGCCTTCTTTCAAACAAGCAATATGGCTTTAGCTTCTCTAGGTGAACTGCTGATGTGCTAACGATTATTGCTAAAAGTGTCTATCAATCTTTAGGTAAGGTAGGTGGAACTCTATCTGTTGCTTGGACATCTCGAAAGCGTTTAACAGCGTTTAGCATAGCAGTCTTCTTAAATTGAAAGGCTATCGTACTTCCGGGGGAATGCTACTACGAAAGTTGGTTCACTGTCGTGCTTGACAGTTTTTCTCATCAGAATTTATCTTATATATCTATAAGTCTGTCATTCATCCATGCTTTGAATATTACTGTCACATATTGCCCGGTGGTTCTGCTGTATATTTAGAGATGCTTGATAAAAAATCCAAAGAATCAGCAATATTATTGGCCCTGACCTGGCATCTCAGCGTCAGCCATTTTCCCATCGCCATAAAGTTGCTTCCCTGTGCCTTTTCTATAAATATTTTCAGGATAATTGTTCAGATGAACTCTTCACTATGATACCAAGACTTTAAGAATTTAAGCGAAGTACTTGATTGGCAGTAAGGTCTCATCAATTTACAATTCAATTGGCTGCTAGATATTACTATAATTTTATACTAATGGTTTATTTTCTCGCACTTATCACTTGTGAAACTCTCTTCTGGCTTCATGCTTTCAAGCCAGCTTTGAACTTCAAAAATTTAAATGCAATGTCAATTGTTATCTACAGTCTGCTTGATTACTCTTCTATTTGTCTATATTTCTGAGATGAGGTATTATGTACATTATTTACATTATTCGGACTATTGTCCTCATCTTTGTCGCCATATTTATTACAACGTTTCGGCCGTTGTACGCTCGGGCCTTCTTCAGGTGGTTGGAATGTCGAACTGAATCCTTTATACCGCTCTCTGGGGTAGAATGGATCCATTAAACATGACACGTAAAACTAGAACAGTCTACCCCAGTGAGCGAAATAAAGGGTTCAGTTCGACATTCCAACCACCTGAAGAAGGCCGGAGCGTACAACGGCCGAAACGTTTTAATAAATATGGCGACAAAGATGAGGACAATAGTCCGAATAATGTAAATAATGTACTCTTCTATTTTTCTTGCTTCTTCATAATGTTTCTGTTGTCTTTCTTATTCTTTTATACGCAGTCACCAATTGTATCTTAGTGGCTTTACAACTTTCTGTGCGGTGATATGATTTAAAAAAATGCATTTGTAAGGTAATGATAGCCAACCTTAAACTAGTTACTGAAAAAGTGCATCGCGCATGCCTCATGCGGTCAGTTTGGTTTTCTGAATGGCGCGCCTAATTTCATGTAGAAAATCACGTTTATTAAAATGTTGCTTTGTTTCGTTCTTCCTTGTTCACTCAGTCACTCACTCTCATCCATAAACACATAAAACAATGAATAGCTATAATGTTTCTTTCATTTTTGTTATTCTTCGTTGAAGGTAACGTTTTCATTGTTTTAAACAATTGGAGTTTTTAACTATGGAAGATCATATATGTAAACAGTAAACTGATATAATAATTTCTTTTTCCTGCAGAAGAATTATACTTTTTATTTAAAAAAAAAAAACGTGGTATTTTCAAATCACTAAATCACATGCATTTAAAATTACATTAAAAAATTTGAATCTTGCTTTAATATTGAAAAATTAAAATCTTGATTTAACGTTATCACTGATGGCCAATGATAGTATTAAATCAAGATTTCAATTTTTTAAAGGAAAAATGAATCAACTTTTTCTCATTTCTAAGATGCATACTCGTATAGTCTTCTCTAGTATAAATCCTTCAGTGAAATATTAGCTTGAATCTTTTAGTAGTGGACCCGCCTTATGGATAAAACCATATCATAAAAATAAATAACCAAGACCCACTGCCTGAAAAAGGTTGCCTGGATCTGCTCGAAACATTATTTTTTCTCCTGAATA